TCCTCTTTTGCTCTCAAAGATTTTGTGATACTCCATAGCTGTGTGTTTCATCCCATACATCCTAAAAGGGTTAAGGTTTCATAAAAAAAGGTGTGGGCATGAAACTATTAAGATCTCTGGGAATTCAGTCCTACAATTGTCGTCAGACATACATATTTATGGAGATTGTGCACTCAGACTGATATTCATGATGTTTCAGTGAGAGAATAAAAGTGAGTGGGATGTAAGGGATGACAGCCATGCATGTATTCCTATAAAAATGCAATATAAACAAGAGCACACTCAGAGAGGCACAAACCTCCACCAATGCTGGACAATTCTCTAGCAGTGCCTTTGTTTATCAGTAAATAAAAAATAAAAAAAAACAGTTATGGAGGCTGGATCTTTTCAAGTTGCATTTGGATTGAACTTTGTAATAAAATTGCATTAGATTTTGAACAAAATAGCAATTGACTGCATTTCTTGCTCAGCTACCAGTGTGGAAGTCTGAAATGCCAGCCTCCCACCAGCTCTGGAACGTAGTTTTGGAGCCACTGTTGTGGCTAAAAACATGTTGGTGTATCTACAGATCACGGAAATTTAATCAGCTGATCATTTTTAATCTCCTTCCAACTTCCTTACTCAGAAAGAATAAGTCTTTTTAATGTTGCAATATCCCAGATATGCAACAATTGTTAAATTTGGAAGTTGTAATGACCAGTAATATATGAGTTATGGTCTTTAGTGGTCAAGATGAGGAATCACAGCCATCTTTTACATTGTAAATGTTTCAGTATGACTCTTTATAATACTTTCCGTGGTAGTCTTATCAGTTAGTAACTGTTTCAAAGGTCCAGTGTGTAACATTTAGGCGGATCTATTTTCAGAAATTGAATATAATATCCATAGGTATGTTTTCATTAGTGTATAATAAGTTTATAATAATCATAATAAGAACTTGTGTTTTTGTTACATTAGAATGAGCCATTTTTATCTACAGAGGGAGCAGGTCCTGTAGTCCACCATGTTAAACTCCCATGTTTCTACAGTAGCCCGGAACAGACAAACCAAACAGTGATTGTAGACAGGGCTTTTCGCTTTTTTCGTAAGTTCCCGCTTGGTTGAGTCAAATGGTTTTAGTTGGTTGCAATCTGAAATCTCACCACTAGATAACACTGAATCCTACATGTATAGAATTAAAAGCTATTTAAACGTAACTACTGTTTTGGTTCTCTCCTTACTCTCACATCAACCTGGTTTCAAGGAGAGTGAAAATTAAACTTACATAAATTGGATACAAACACAACTCCAAATACATTTTGCTCTGTTCTGCTGGGTATGTAAATAGGCGATCCTGATCCTGAAGCTTAAAGAGATATGTTTGCAAGAATATTTTCTGAATTGACATGTGGCTTAGCCCAGGCTCACACTAAGTTGTAGTTGTTGCCAGTTGCTAACCCACCTGTGATCCACCCCTGTGCTCCACCCTTTTTGGCTTTATAAAATATAAACCCAACCTACAGACTTCAAAATATCCCTTGGTCACATGTCTCACATGTCTATGTTCGAGAGCATCAGATTTTTATTTTTTTATTATTTGGAAAGAAGCTGTATAGTATCAGTTATCCTAACTACATAAAAACCAGGGAACCTACAATTATACTTAGTTGTACAATTATACACTCAGTGTTAATGATAAATTGAGGGCTGGAACCCCTTTATTCAAATTCATTGGCAGATTTGAGGGCTAATGGAGTGTAGCATCAGGGTTAGAACACTCACACTTGCTGCTTGACTGCTCTCTAAAATAGACTTTCTTTAAGTTATTTTAGTGACAATGCCACAAAACTAAGAAAAGCCTCTATCACCTTCTCCAATGGCACTGACAGATAGCTGGATTACCCACATTGATCGAATGTTGGCAGGGTGTGATTCACGCAAAGTGACAAACTAAAGGAGCAGTGGGAAGCACTACCCCAGTGTTCTAAACAGACGTCAAACATCTCCCATTATGCAATCAGTAACCTGAGTGCACCAGAACCATCTGGGAAGTTGCTGTACTTTCAAACAGTGCTTGGCAGTTGGCAATTGATTGGATGAACCATCTGTCTATCACTATCTATCATGGGCGAAATTCAACCAATCAGATCAATAAACCATATAATGTAGTCAACAAAAGCCTTGAGTGCTATTCTTTGCTCTTCTTTCAGTGAAGAACTGCTCTTCAGTTGTGATTGAACTGATGCTAGCAACATCTACGTTAACCTATTAAGCTGCCACCATTGTCTTTTAATAAACAGTGTCTTCTCGCTGCGTCACACCTAGTGTAAAAACTGTTGTCATATTTCGAGGGTAGCCCAGGATGGACAAACCAAACACCAGTCAAAGCACTTTTACACTACATGGCACATCCGCCCTTTCACACACATTTACTCAGTGATGGTAAAGCCCATCAAACAGAACCTGACATTCATACACATTCACACACTGATGCATGGCATCGATTAGGGGACGAGCCGCTCTTCCTCTGAGTCACAGCCGCGCTCTCCCTTCTTTAGATAGATTGGCAAGGTGGGTTTGTGAATGATCTTGCACTGTTGCGCTGATGTTTTTCAAGCTCCACACCCCAGGGTTGCTGTTGTGGAGTAATGATATTACTTTGTCTTTTTCATGAGTTATTGTCTCAGACTCACCACAGAAAACATTATACAACAAGCATGACTAGTCCATGACTGGTGTACTGACCTCAATGTGTAAAATCAGTGGAATGCCAAACAAACTTAACAGCCTTCACAGTTGCAACAGCAGTGTTAAACAACATAAGCAACAACCAAATTTGGACAGAAATAAAAACTCAGTTGTCTGCAGTTCAAAGTAACACAATAAATATGCCAGTGACAGGGTAGTTGTCTTCTACCTTTTCATTGGCCCTTACACAACTCAAAAACCTCTACAGCAGTATTTGAGAGGGAAGATGACTGCTATTTTCAGAAGTTGCATCAACACGTCAACTTGAGCCATTTCTCTGTGTATTCCAGTAAATGCCAAAGTAATACACCTTGCCTGATGTTTAGCAGCGTCTCAATGAAAACTGCTTTTAATGGTTCACGTCTCGTCCTCCACATTGTAAAGCTCGACTAGTTTTCACTGACAGGAGAATTATAGGTCTGTGCTGCTCACAACGCAGCTCGAATGGGAAATGGCACCGTAGCAAAGCTTCTCTGTGCCTGACACAAAGGAGCAAATCGGAATATAAGTCTGAATGTAGAGCAATTAATCAGGGTCATGTGGCCTATTATCTACATTTTCCATCCCATAATACAGGTCTGAGACAGGTATGCGGTCACATGAAAACCATAAATGCAGGAATAATACACCAGTTTCTACAAAAACAAAATCAAACTTCAAAAGTCATGTCTGTCTCATCTTGTTAATTCACAAAAAATGCCCAAAATACATATACAAGTCTCTTGATATTTTTTGCTGTTAGGCCACATGCAGGGAGGAATAGCAGTGGACTTGCAGTTTGTATTATCGTGAATGGAGCACACTGTTAAGATAAGATGAAACTGGGTCATAGCAATAGCAGAGGAGAAGATAGAAAGACATTGGCAAAAGATAATAGGCTACTTCAAATAAAACATACTTAAGATTAGTATTCAGTTTTTATAATGTTAATAATAATAACTCCAGTAGGCTTGATAAGTGCTCTCATTCTGATATCTTCTTTTTAGAAAGCACAGAATATCACATTTGATAACTGCCATGAGTTCTCTCACTTCCGTTTAAAATGCAACTTAACATCAGGTAGAGTCCAGGGGCTGAACCTTACTGCAGTGACCTAAGAGTGTACTCAGGTGTGTCAGTACAGCTTGACATCACTGTTGGGCATGGTTACAGGCAAGTAGGTGGATGAGGGTGGATGTCATCCACCTTGTTAGCAAAATGACTTAAATTAACCCCCTTGTTAACCTGACACCCCATCTCCATCCCCAGCAAAATATGTCCTGCCTCACTCATTCAAACCTGTTTATGCCTAGTTATATATTACTAAAAATGTGTCCATTATTACTATCCTACTTTTTAGTTCTGTGGCACATTAGCCCATCCCTTTTGCCTGTCCTATCAGCAGCCCTGAAAAAGAGATGTTGGTGGGCCTGAACAAAACAACCAATCAGAGCCAAGAAAGGTAGTTGATTGTTGAACACAGAACAGAATCCAGATGTTTGAGTTTTACTGCTCTCCTTTTCCTGTTAGCATTGAATTAATTGCCTTCAGGGGTGGGGCTGTGGGGCTGTGGTGGTGTGGGGCCTCAGGCAACATCCTGCCCCTGGTGTGCCTAGTAGCTACAGCCCTGCTCTTTTAGTAAACACTCAGGTGGTAAAGCAGGGCCCTGTGACATTTCAGTCCTGGCCCTTCCTCTGACTGTCTTTCTTTTACAGCCTTTGCAAAAAGTGACTCCAGTGCGCCTCTGGCCTTAGGCTTTCAGTCAGTGGACATTTACTGTCAAAGGATGCCTCTCCACACACACAGAGACACAGAGACACATACCTGCACTTTAGCTTCCTCATAACTCATCTGGGGTGTTTTAGGGTTCCCCGTCAGCCCAGTAATGTTGTGATTGATGCTGACTGCAGAGGGGTTGTCTGAGGAGAAGTTGAGGAGGAGGTCAGCAGTGCAAAACCAAATAGAATTATTTCTTATATGTAAGATTTCGCAAAAAGGCAGCAGGGGATGCATCACAGCCTCATAATGATGACATTTTGAAATTCTCTATTTACCACACAAATGAAAATGTTTTGCTTTTTCAGCAGCTGGCTCATGATGTTATTCTGTGTGCAATGTTTAATTGGAATTCAGATGACTTGGCAGTGCACACTGTCAGCTGTTTTCAGAGGACATGAGATGGTTTTGAAATGTCACTTTCTTTCTCTGATGAATCCTTTTAAAGTCTGCTCAATTTTACATCCAATTGTATCCTTCTAGTGACGAGACCCTGTTGCATTCCTTGTCTTCCTCAGGTATATACGGGCCAGACGAGGGCTGGGCTTTAGCCTACCCAGAATGCAGAGAGAGAAACCAGTCGCCAATCAACATTGTGGACCAGGATACTAAAGTATCCACAGAGTATCAGGAACTGACACTGGAGGGCTTTGATACTGAATCATCTAATAAGACATCTATGAAGAACACAGGAAAAACAGGTAAACACAAGATTGGATTTCTCCTTGTACGTAACTTCTCCATGTATGTGGGATAAGCTAGTTTCTGCACTTAGAGTAACTGAAATGTTTGAAGATGTTAAAATGAAAGAGTAAGCTAAATGTTATCAAGAAAAAACTAAGCATATGGACAATTTAGTGTTAGGGTTAGAGAAGAAAATAGGTGCTGATATGCTTTGTTAAGCATTTGAAACATGTTGAGTTCCCTAGTGTAGACAATAAAGCAGGGTATGATTTAGGGCATGGCTACCTTGTCATTCTCAGTGAGTCCATCCAGCTCAACGCTCAAACTCAGGGCCAACTGTCAAACTATTCAGCACTGATCTAATATGAATCAAGGGTTTGTTCTGTAATATGAGAAGGCTTGTGACCAGGCACGCTGACCTTTTTTAAATCCGAACCAAAACCAAGTGCAGCCAAATTTGCAGTATGTCACCCACCAGCTCCACGCTCTTGTCCAAACAGGGTCACTTCTGGCTCCATAAAACGAAGATGGCAATAGCCATAATTCCAAACTCACGATAGGTTTACACTTGAGTGGCACTTGTAACACTTTTTTGTGTGTTCTAGTCTTAACATTGTCTAACAATGAAATTATTAATTTATTTCGTGTAACACTTTGGTATTGTGTGTAACGGGATCATTGTGCTCAGTAGTGACGTGACGTGTGACAGAGAAGCTTCCCCATTGATCTTAGGACAGTGACAGCCTAATTAGCCTACACTGAATACCAATGTGTGGATACTGAATGGCAGATATGCTACTGAACACAGATCAGTGTGATACTAACAGCTATGTTTAGTAGTGACTTATTTCTTTCAGTGGAAATTTTTCCCCTAGCCTCTTAATAGCACCATCTACGATGCTAGTGAACCTTACCTATGCAGCAAATTACATTTTCAACAAGACGTACTTGTCAGAATGATTTAGTAGCATACAAACATACCTTTTGGTACACAGGCTTGATTGCTGAGGCATGGGAACATGGTAGCACTAATAAAAAAAGTACACCCTGTTTCAATTTTACTGGAATACTGTTCTTGCCATAGTTGTGTTCTCACAGTTTTCTTCTGTAATGAGGGATTATGGCTTATATCTATGTGCTCACTTTTTTTTTTGACCCCAAATAAAGTGCTTTAGAAAATCTGGATAAACTGTTTACAGTCTCTCTTGTTGTTGCACTGCTCATTTTTCTTGCCATCACTGTCATCACGTTACCAGATTTCAGAGAGCACTTTGGTTGTGGGCAATGTTATCATAACTGATAGAAATTATGGACAGAACTTTGAAAATAAGACCCATTGTGGAATAAACCCAAATTATCATTTGAGACCTTTTGTTTTCTTTCTTAAATCATGTTTCACTTGTCACTGAACATCGCATTTTCCAAAGTTAAGATCTCAGTCTGTAGTCACAAACCCCAAAATAGCAGTCAGTCATGTTCCTCAAAGAAATGCTGCCAGTTGTTTATGACAAAATGTTTGTAACAATATCAGGCTGCGACAGACCATGGTGCAAAGAGAATGAAAAGCTGAAGTGTGACAGCTCTAATAATCCCAGCTCATATTGGCAGGTGTCTGCATGTCAAACATCTGTTGCATCACTTCCCCGCATATGATTATAAAACAAGACAGGTGCAATATGCAGCGAGTCATTTATGATGAAGATTACACATCCCATTTCCATTCAGACATGCTGCATCCATATTAGTACAAGTGCCATGGCAGGTGTCACTGCCTGTAGGATTCAGCAGCGGGCCATCTGCATTTGGCTCTCTTGGCATCTCGAGGACCCTCCTTGTCAGCCATAGGTATTTTTCACAATTCCAGGTTGTCACTAAGATGGATGATCCTTTCCCCTCAGTGGAGAAATGGAGAAATGGAGTTGAAAGGCTTTTGAGAGGCAGAGGCCACAGATGGTTGGCGTCGCTGTTGACAGCACGCTGAGTGCTGCCCGGAGCACAGCTGTGTGTTTAGCACAATAATGTTTTACATCCTATCATTTGCTCAATCAAGGATGTATGTCATATGTGATGACACATTTGAAGAAATTGCTAATATAGGTTTACTGTAGCTTCACTAAGCCAACTTTGTTGTGTAAAAATAAAGCCTATATTAGCCTTAATGACGAAGAGAGACTGCAACAAATAGTGGCAACAAATATAAGTGTCTGATCCTTTCAAAGACAACATATCTCAACAAATTATATTCGATACATCTAACGAATTGTGTCGTCTTTGATTCCTCTATGGTGGACTAAACATGATATATTGTTGTCTAGGCTGCACTACAGGGTGCCCTTCCGGTGGACAAAACGTGTTAATGTTCCTTTTAGGATGTCCTTCCAGTGGACAAAACATACAGTGCTCTCTAGGGTTCTAATCCAAACCCTGACTAAGTTGTTTCACCATAAACACATCACAACTTTCTGCGTGCTGATGCCCTTCTCTTTTTGTTTTTTGGGCTCCTGCCACTCAAACAGGCCGCCACTGAGCAAGGCTCTAAATATAACAAAATCATAATTGTAAGATTCTTTAGATTATATAGATAAATTTCTTTAGAAATTGAACCCCTCCACCCAGAATATCTTCTGTTCATTTGTCTGGGATGTTTGATACTGACACTGAAACATTTGCATGCAGCAGGTCACTGTATTTTTGCAAAACGTGTTTGTCTTCACCAGCGTTATGCACGGGAAAGAAAGCGTGTGACATCCTCAGATGAAATAAGCTGTCAATCCTCTCCACCTGCTGCCGAGCTGCGTTACAGCACATCCTGTAACAGTCACACACAGAGCAGCTCCTCACTAACTGCTGTCATGGCCTTTCCATGTATCTTGCTGTCACTGTAGTTCAAATCTGCTCTCAAGACAGGACAGATACCTCTGCTGCCACAAGAATGTTGTGCATTCAGACTTATGATGTTGATAATAGACGAGTATTATATAGGCTACACAATTTTGAATGAAATATGTGTCACTTGAATTAAATATTAAATTAGATCATTTGTATCAAAAGTATGAACAGTAATGTGTTTTTTATGCAAAAATGTTCCACTTTAAAATCCAGAAAAAGTAATCTACTTCTTCTACCTCATTGAAACTTCCAGAATCTCTGAATATGCAAAAGTTGTTTATTTCTGAAGTTTTCCAGCTGGACACAAGATGTCTCCTACTTCACTGTAAAATCCATTCTCAGTGGATGTGCAATGGTGGCTTCACACTGTCCAAGTTGCATACTGGACCAAACTGTTTGTGATGCCACAAATCATGTTATTACAATAGCATTCATCCTTCCTGGACCATACACCTGACCGCAAATTTCATAGAAATGTGTGTAGGGTACTGGATCATCACCTGAAGTTAAAATCCTATAGTTACAGTCCCATGTAATGAAACAAACTGGAGATATAGCGAATCACTTTGTAACAAAAAGAGCTTTGCCAAACAGTAAAAATGAATGTCCCGAGCAATATTATATGGTAGAAAAATGCTATAACTTCTGGATGTCATCACCCTCAAGACTTGGATTGGCTCGGCAATGCAAGTTTTTCTTTTAAGTTGATAATGTTGTAATAATAATAATAATGTTGGGGAAAGTCCCCAGTCTCTATTAAGCATTTATTAGGTATGTCATGATTGCGTAGTGTTCATCTGTCTTGTTCTTGATGCCTTTCTACTGAATGCTCAGTTCATCCAAACTTACTGCTCACTTCCAGTGTATTTTCATGGTGGGGCGCATACTTTCACTCTGGATGTGTCAGTACCCCAGTTTGAAAAGGCTAGTACTTTCTTGGGGGTCCTCTATCCCCACATCGTATCATATGCAGGCTATTTGAATATGCTAAGTGTTCTGGTGAAACACCCTATAGTGCTTGCATATAACAGTGCCATTTGTTGTTGCAGCCGGCACGTTAATTATACAGTTATCCACTCAGGCAAATGTCAACTAAGCGTCAAAACAGCTACATAGAGGAAACGGCGAGGGAAATTAAAAATATGGCTCCTGCAGCTGTTTATGACTTCCCGGGGTTTCAAGTCATGTGATGTCAGAGAGCTGATTTGCATTCAAGTTGAAAGTGAGGGTGAAGGCTTCAGCAATGATTAAATACATCAGTGCTGGGAGTAAAAATTAAATATTTGCAACAGATGCAAGTTGAATATGGCAGTCAGTGTGCTGCCCTGACTTAACAGTCATACAGAGTTGACATGCTTACCTATTTTCCTGTAATGACTTTTACTGAGCATGGTAACACTTATTCCATCACACGATTGGAAATTATGGGAACTTTTAGTTAATGTTTTTTGCAATATTCATTGCACCCCATAGTACAAAAGTGTTGGATGGTACAATCATTTGGCTATATTGTTAGACACTGCTCTTGTAGCAATGCTAAAAAAAAAAAAATTCTAGTAATTTGTGATCATTGGGCAGACTGCTCGTCACTTAAGTTCCTGCTGTTACAGTAATTGATAACAGTATTGATGGGTCCAGTAGTATGTGAGATGTGGCTGCAGACAGATCCACACACAAACACACACACTATTGCTCATAATCCAGGCTTACTACTGGCAGGATGAGTGGCTGTTGGTGGAAAGTACCAAAGCATATATATTCAAGTACTGTACTTCACTACAATTTTGTGGTACTTTACTTACTTACTTTACTACTTTAACATACATTGCTATTCCACCACGCTACTTTTACTCCACTACATTTTAGAGGGAAATATTGCACTCCACTACATTTATTTTACAGCTACACTTAAAAGTTACTTTTTGGATTTAGATTTTACATACAAAACCATTTTATCACTTGAAAATGTGGTGTTGTGGCAGGTGGTTTCCAACCTGCTCAGAGCCCCAATCTTTACCCTGCCCTGCCTGACAGTAAAAATCTGCTCAGCACTGTGGACAACATGCTGGTGCTCATCCTTGGTGGAGTATGAGGCCAAAAAGAACTAGAGCATTACCGTAGACATTAAAGAAACAGACAACACCTGTTTGCTGTCAGAATTTTGATATCTCTCTTGTACAGTGATAGGTCTGTTTAGTCTACAGCACGGGTACTCAAATTGCTTTGCCTAGGGGCCACTTTTGAAACATGACCAGATAAGTAATAATATTTATCAGATAAAATGAATAAATTATATGGAACTTCCCAAGTAACAGCTAAGGGACATTATTTGGTATTTACTAACTGGTATAAAACAAATAAATACAATTCCACTGTGAATTTATTTATTTTGATTGCAAATTAGAAAATGGTCAGAGGGTGCGCCCGGTTAGCTCAGTGGGTAGAGCTGGCGACCCACGTACCGAGGCTGAGTCCTTGCTGCAGCAGCCCTGGGTTTGAATCCGACCTGTGGCCCCTTGCTGCGTGTCATCCCCTCTCTCTGCCCTCTTTCCTGTCTACCTTCAGCTGTCACTACATTAAAAGCTCAAAAAATATACTTTAAAAAATGAAGATGGTCAGACGGCCACCCAGCACCCTGTCACAGCCTTTAAGGTGAGTGCAACTGGCCTAGAGCTTAACCTTAAGACAGGAAGCAGGGGACACTGTTCAGCTCTGTCAGAAGTAAAAACAAATTACAGCTTGTAACAAGACATTTAGAGTTTTCAAAATCAAGAGAAAAGTGACAAATTTGCATTCAAAATCCTAAAACCTTTAAAAAAATTATAAAGTAACAATACTGCAAATATGGCTCAACATGGCTATGGCTGTTCTAGTAATGATTCTAATCACAGTGTGAGCATTACAAGACAGGAGAGCTGAGGAACAAAGCATCCCTCCATGCTTGCTGTACCCATCTTTGTTCCCAATTTTCAGTGACTCATTAAGGTCAAAGAGTGAGTAAATGTCCTGTGCACCTCCCGGTCACTGCATCATGAGCGGGCGGCAGTATGTTAGACATCCGTTTGACTGACTGCAGTTAGCTCAATCAAGCAAGGCGAACACAGTGTGTGTTGTCATCCCCTGTGGGAGTCAGACTGACCGGCTGACCTTCAGGTAGAGGATCACCGGCGCTGACACCCGCCAGCGCACACAACAAGATGAGAGCGAGAGACTCTGACAGAGGAAAAGAAGACCTCATCGCGCAGTCGAGGTGAAAAATTCTCCGACACGTTTAATGCAGAGGGTCCCCGGGCCTTCAGCGACTCAAACCATCTCCCCAAAGCCACCCACACTGCTCGCAGAGAAAAAAAGAGATAATGGTGCTGATGGCCACCTGTAAAGTAAGAACCACAGCAGAGCAGAGCATTTAAATGGATTTGGGGTGGCGCAGCATGTAGAGAACCATGTAAAAATGCTAACACAAACAACAGCTGCGAAACAAAATGGTGCACAGCTTCTGCTCTCCCCCTGCTACATAATGCATGGCTAACAAGACAAATGTCCCTGCGTTTTTGCCACAAATTATGCATGGATTCTTCAGTGTTTCTAAACGACAGATGAGCATTTCATCTGTGGAGGGATCACCTGCTGGAGGTGGAGATGCTGCTGAATGCTCTGATGGAGCAGTCACAAACTCGCTTCACGGTAGTTTTCTTCACAGCTCAAATTTTAACTTCTCGACCTTGAGTTTGGAGTCAACAACTCATTATGGTTGGAAGGAAAAACGTTTTTTTTCAAAACAGTTTCTTATTAATTGCTGGCGGGCTTTGACCTTTTTGTGCATGAATTATGACAACCTAAGTTTTCCTACGTGTTTTAATAACTCTTTAGGCATGAAGAAAATAATGAATTTCATCTTTTGAAAACATGCATTCTTCAAGGAGTCTTCAACATGTTCATTGTGTGTTTAAAAAATTGTTTTTTTGGGGGCTTTTCATGCCTTTATTAGACAGGGACAGCTGAAGATAGACAGGAAAGGAGGGTAGAGAGAGAGGATGACACGCAGCAAAGGGCTGCAGGTCGGATTCAAACCCGGGCCACTGCAGTGACTCTGTGTATGGGTCGCCAGCTCTACCGACTGAGCTAACTGGGCATTGATTGATTAACCACCAATAAACCAACTGCAGATGAACCATTTTCAGGTTGCAGTAGTAATATCAATTGTAGATGAGCGATAATGTCCAATTTAGTGAACAGATGGTTAATCATAATATAAATAATCTTCTCCCAAAATATAATCAATACTTGGACATTTTAACAACTGTATTACTCCTTAGTCATAACTTAATGTTACCAGATTTAATTTAAGAGCAAGGGTCTGTAAAAGGATTGGTGAAAGGGCGGCTGTGGCTCAGAGGCAGAGCGGGTCATCCACTAATTGGAAGGCTGTCTGTTCGATCCCCGGCTCCTCCCACCATACATTTTAGTATCCTTGAGCAAGATACTGAACCCCAAATTGCTCCCGATTCTGTTCATCGGTGTGTGAATGTGGTATGTAGTGTAAAAGCGATTCGAGTGGTCGGAAGACTAGAAAGGCATTATACGTTGGGCGGCTGTGGCTCAGAGGCAGAGCGGGTCGTTCCTTAATCAGAAGGTTGTGGGTTCGATCCCTGGCTCCTGTTAAAGTACATGTCGAAGTATCCTTGAGCAAGATACTGAACCCCAAATTGCTCCCGGTGCTGTGCGTGAATGTGTATGATTGTTAGTTTCTGTTCGATGGACTTTGCCATCGCTGTGTGAAAGGGTGAATGTGGCATGTAGTGTAAAAGCACTTTGAGTGGTTGGAAGACTAAGAAAGGCGCTATACAAGTACAGGTCCATTTACCATTTTCAGCACGGACGAGTCTAGCACATAGCATAGCATAGCATAAGTACAGGAAAGGCAGAACTTGTCCAAAATTTGACTGAGGCTTGCTCAACTGATATTGGTGCACAGAGCAAAAAGGGGCGGGGCCAACTAAGCTTGTTCAAGCTAGAAACGTGAGCAATTAGGCTGAACACACGGCAAGAGTTGCTTGTTGCTTGTGCGTGCTTTTGGCTGATGGGGTGATTTGTAAACTGCAAGCTAGTTAGCAGCATGGAGCCCGTGATCCAAATAAAATATAGGAACATTGCAGATAGTAACTTTATTCTACATATGATTGTCATTTATTTGAATTTATTTAATTTTTGCCTAGGATGATGCTTACTCACACTTAGTTAACTGTGTACTGAGTGTGAACAGGATGCTGACTGCAGTTCACTTAACAGCCACTGTTGGCACTATTAACAATGGTTTTCTGAAAGTTGCATATAGAACCTTTAAAGTAGGGGTCTCAAAGTCGTATTGCCATTATTTTGCAACGAACGACAAAAAAAACCAAAACAAATGAAATAGAATAGTTTTTTAGGGTTAGGGTCAGATGTAACCCCTGAAATGGCCGTTGCGCCTGCAGTTTGAGATCCTTGCTTTAAAGAGTCCTGGTTGAAGTGAGGCAGCCACAGAGTTTTTACCTAGCAACATTCCAAAAGCACAGACTATGTGAAGTGGGCCTGTTATTGTGTAATTAAGTGTATGTGATGATAAAGTATTGGAAGGACGTGGCTGCATTGGTTAATGGAATGTCCTTTCAGAGCAATTTGTGAATGTGAAAATAACTCTCCCTCTTAATCCTCTCTATATTTCAGATGTGATAGAATAACAAAAGACACTGCAAGGGCAGTTTGTACCGGTTGAAGAGAATCATTTTTCTTGGCAAATTAGCCTCTCATTTGAGAACTTCGAGGCTGATGACAGTGACAGAAATGATCTTGAATGAGCATGTCTCCCAAGCAAATCAAAAAGATAAACACATATCTACGTTTAGCATGTCTTCAGAATACATCCTTTTGTCTGTGTCTCTTCAGACCTTAAAGCGGTTTCACAATGTGTACGTGTCTTTGCACAAGTTTGGATTGTGTTTTTGAGAGATCTTTGAAATTTGCCTTCACATCAACAACAGACACCAATTTTCTGTCGTCTGTGGCTTTGAGAGGAATGATTACTATGTACGTTGAAATAGATGTTCAGTGATGTATGACCATTCACTCTTTCTCGCTCTGTCTCTGTTTTTCTCCCTCTCCTTTTGTCTTTCTTCCAGTGGCCATTATGTTGAAGGATGATTACTTTGTTCGGGGAGCAGGGCTACCAGGCAGGTTTAAGGCAGAAAAAGTGGAGTTTCATTGGGGTCCGAGCAATGGATCTGAAGGCTCTGAACATAGCATCAACAGCCGGCGATACCCTGTGGAGGTAAGCATAGTCTACAAAGCCTCCACATACCAGTAATGAATTATATCTGAGAGCAATAGTTCAATTTCCCTGTTGCAATGAGTTTAGCATGCACACAGACAACAGGCTGTAAAATGCTCAGAAAATGTTGCTAATCCAGCAGTAGCAGCCCACATTAGTTCTAAACAAGTGCTAATTAAACAGAAACACCCAAACAGGCCAAAACTGCAAATGCCTTTTAAGGTGCTTATTGACAATATATTACAATGACTAGTTTGGGCTAAAAGGCTGGTTAATTTACCAGTGAAAGGTCATTTATCTGGCTGTCTATTACTTGGACCAGATACTGCCTCAGACAGGGCTTTTCCACCAACAGGGAACCAGCTCTGTTCCGGGGACCTAGTTTTGAAACATTCGGAGCGTTTTGACTAAAAAAATTAATTTGTTCAGAACCTGTAAAGTTCCCAGCTGGAACCCAAAATTAGCAGGATTTCCTTGTGAACCAAAGTGGGCGTGTTATATTCTTCATGTCATTTTGCGTTGTGCCTGTGTCTGTTGATGATCCCATATCAATGGTTCTGCTCAAAACTGGTGGAAATGTGAGCTAGTTCGTTAGATAGCACCAAGGTTCCAAGAATCTTGAATGCTACTGGTTCAAGAACCAGAACTCATTTGTTGGAAAAGGGGCCAGAGAGGGGTTAGTAAACAGTGAGTGGGGCCTACAACTGAATGTGGCCTGGCTGTCAGTTTGGAGATTGGGTACACCTCAAAGACCTGGCTGGCTTTGAGAATTCTACTCATCTTCTTTCTGGCACAGTCTCTTGAAAAAACTAAGAGTTCCCTTTCTCCATGCTATCATCTGACAATGATTTAGTCCATTCTCACATCCAGTATTGTCTGGAGGGGATCTTTAAACATGACCACCTTTTTCTTTTACCTTAAATAAATGGGTTAACATGCCTGTTACATATTATAGTTGGTTAAGCTCACAATAGTTTTGACCCACTTCTATGGAATAGTCATGTGAGTGTTAGGAAAGAAGATTTGAAGAGACTGTCAGTGTGAATGTTGTGTATAGGTTCAGGAATAAAGATTATACAGGTGGCATTACCCACAAGCAAGTGAATGATCAGGCATCATCTGTCAAGCTTGATTTTTGGCATTGAGAGACACTCGTTTAGCATCCAGCTTTAACATCTACCAACTAAAATCACTGCAAGATGCCAAGTGTCTAAATGTGAGTGTGTGTAGCTCTTTCTGAGTGTGTGTGTGTGTGTGTGTGTGTGTGTGTGTGTGTGTGTGTGTGTGTGTGTGTGTGTGTGTGTGTGTGTGTGTGTGTGTGTGTGTGTGTATTTGCATGCTGTTTATGTGCAGCTGTCAGTCTCTTGAATGCTGAAATGTCAGCCATCTCTGTTTGGACTTCTCCTAGCGCGCTGTCTTTTTCCTGTGGCTGGCCAAACAGATGAATATGTATTGTTTGACATTTGGAAGATCAGCATGCTGACAGTTCAGCTTGATATTGTAATCTTCTCCTCCCGCTCCAAACTCTTTTTTCCCCTCCCAAACCTTTCCGCAAAGTTGCATTAAGGTTCCTTTGTGTCAGTGGCTGAGATAGCTCCGTATGTAAATGATGCATTTGTCTTCACTACTCAGTTTAGAAATATTGCTTACCTGTCTGCGGGAGACGAATTCAAAGATTCTGCTGAAAACACAAAACCTCCTATATGAATGCATGACGAAGCTTTCTGGGGCCGCTGTTACAAAATTGCTAGATTTATAATATGCCGTCACAATCGATTTGGCAGTGAGACACAGGCGAGGTAAATTCCTGTGTAGCACTTGTATGAAATTACAGTGAAAATCAAGCCTGTTTTCTCATATTGATTGAGCCTTCCAGTCAACTATACTATATCCCCAGAGACACACACACAGACCACTGCCTGGTGTCAGATTCAATATTGGCAGGATGGCTCAGCTGATCAGTCCTCAACTGATACTGTTATTTTTACAGTGAAGATTGTGAGAGACCAGATTCTGTGCAGATTTTTGAAGAGATGGAATTTCCAAATAACAAACATGAAGCTTGGGATGTGCAAACTGAATACTTTTAGACTTTTTGAGAGCTTAATTATACAGTTTTTCTCAGTCGCTTTGGTGCATTTCTCACATCACTATTTATATTTGCACAACAGTTAATGCATTTCTCAAAACAATTAGTACAAACTGCAAAACCTAGTTGATAACCTGCAAAAGCGTGTCACTTGCTCAAAATGGATAGCTCATTCCTCAAAAGCAAGTATTCTTGTCAATTAAAGTGTCAGTGTCATCAAGATGAAAAGTCCTGACCCCATTGTTTATGAACAAGATAGTCAAATGGGTTTGTCATGTTCTCATTATGACAGTTTACTCTGTAAATCCAATGCAAAAAAGTCAGATCTTGGTGACACTACCTGAAAATGCTCAAGACAGCACTATATACTATTTGCACAGCCATTTGAAAACTACAGTAAAGTTAGACATTACTGTATTTAGTGAGGTAACTGAGTACAAGACACTGAATATGTATGTTTCAAATTTTTACTGCATATGCTCTTTGCAATTCTAATTTGTTCACAGCATTGTGCAAAAGAAAAAAATACACCCTTATTTACAACAAACATAAACTCCCTTTGGGTAGAGCTGTGCACAACTGTAAACAATATTGCAGTACATATTGGAACTGAACATACAACATACATAGTACTGTAAATCATTCATGCACATCCAGACGTTCTTCACATAGTTTCATCTACATCACAGTGAATATCATCTCTTGCAATGCAGCGAGGAAAGTATCTCCTCGAGTGGCGAATCCACCCTCTGCAGGACTCTGCTGTGATGTCATCACATGCTGCATCCATGGCCACTATTGGATTTAGGAATGGTGAGTAGGGAGGGAGATATTCCACAAGCATCCTAGCATGCGCTGCAAACCACTGTCTGACGACATCTGAGTGGTGAAAACGCACATTATCCCAAACAACAACATGCTTATTCAGATGGTCTCCAGTTAGACCCCTCTCATTCTCAGGGATTATGTCCCTGTAAAGAGTGTCTAAAAAAGTCAGCAGATGTTGTGTGTTGTATGGACCAAGACAGGGGATATGGGTGAGGACGCCGTTTTCTGAGATGGCTGCACACATAGTAATATTCCCTCCTTGTTGGCCTGGGACATCAATGGTTGCTCTCTGTCCAATGCAATTCCTTCTACATCTTCTACCTTTTGCCAGATTGAAACCCGCCTCATCAAGGTATATGAATGTGTGCAGCGGTTCCCTGGCCTCCAGCTCCAGTACACGCTTTATTACAGAAGAGGGAGCGAGAAAAACTATAACAACTTTTCCTGTGTAACATAATGCATTTTGGACAACATATTGTACAGTATGCACTGTGAATACACATACACAGAACTGTCATGTAAGTGTAGTGCACGACACTACACAAAGTAAACAGTTTACAGCACTGAACATTAGAGTACGCATAGAACACATACATGTTTTACCTGTACATACTGGTGACGGATCTCCTTCACTCTGTCGCTGTTCCGTTCAAATGGCACATTGTACAATTGTTTCATGCGCATTTCATTTCTCCTGAGCACTCTGTCAACTGTAGCGATTGAACAGATTCAATATTCCCAAAGACGTTGTCATCCTCTATAACAGCACTTTGTATCTCTCTAAACCTTATGGCATTGTTTGCAATCACCATTGCACAAATGGCTTCCTCTTGTTGCGGAGTAAAAAGGGGCCCTCTTCCACCTCTGCAAGGTTGTCTTGCAATCCTATGTGGTGCAGAGTAAAATTACAGTAAATATGGCAAATCTTTACTGTAACACTACTGTACACTACAATACACTAAATCTGTGATGCAGTAAAGCTGTAAGTCTAAATGTAAAATGTAAAAAGTGACAAGTTCTTGTCCCACTGCAAGCTTCATGTATGACACAATGACAGTAGCGCAGTGCAGATTGTTTGGTGCTGAATTACTGTCCGTTTATACACACTTGTTCTCCCAACGAAATGTTTGAATCATTGAATTTACAGTGGTTCTCCCAACATTTGGCTTGGCCTCTTCTTCCTCTTCCCCTGTTTTGTCCCCTTCCCCTTCCTCCCCGCACCCTCACCCCTCTTCCACGAGGCTGACCTTCCATTTCTGTGTCACAGTATTGTAGAAATGGTACACACTATGTCCTGCTTGGTTCATATATGCTTGTGAAGTGGGGGTTTATGGGATTCAGCTCTGAGTTATTGTAGAGAAGTGGCTTATCATTGGTTGCAACTAATGCTTCACACACCCCTTCTCATCAGTGAAAGCTGAGGTTCACCTGAGAGAAATTGTTCAATTTAGGAGACATTTTCAGGAAAAAAAAGATTTGAAAAAATTTATAAAATTTGCTTGATAGGTTTTGACAACTAGTTCAACATTTTTGTATGTAATGACCCAAGCAATGAAATGAGGACTATTAGTTTTATATGGAATGACTATTCAGCATTCACAAGTATAGTTAATTTTGACTGACATGACATAAGCAAATGATAATGTTATAAAACAGCAGAGAGTTGTATGAAAGCAATTTGCAATTTGTTGGAAGGAATGAGAAACTGTTACTATGATGTGCACAAATGACTAAATGTTGTGTTGAAAAACTGTAATTTAAATGGAAGTTTAAAGGCCTTTTTAAAGGTAAAAATTTCATTTCATAATATTTAATTATTATGCCATCAATTAAAGATCAATAATTTATTTTGAGCAGGGGCAGAGCCAGATATTGTAAACATTCAGCGCTTTTCCCAAACCTAGAAGGGTCCAGGGGCATGCTCCCCCAGCAAGTTTTTTTTCCTATGTATGGTAGCTATATGTGCTATTAGGAGATAGATAGATAGATAGATAGATAGATAGATAGATAGATAGATAGATAGATAGATAGATAGATAGATAGATAGATAGATAGATAGATAGATAGATTGATTGATTGATTG